CAGTCAGCTTTTCTGTAAGCCTAAAACAGATCTAAAAGTAAAGCCATGGGTCAGTCAGATGGTTCCAAAAGCAAAGGTGCTTGCTTCCAAGCCTGACGACCTGAGTGTGAACTCCAAAACACATACAGTGGAGGGAGAGAACAGACAATCCCAAACTGTCTTGTGACATCCACAAGTTCACTGTGGCACAGGCATCTCTCTCACACACACAAACAATAAATAAATAAACAAGTAATTATTAATTGATTAAGTCAATCGAAGTTTCAGCTTTTGCAATTTCAGCTTAGTTCTCTGAACTATCAGAGAAGAGCAAGGAACTATTAAGCTTACAAAGGGAATCTTTAAAACTGGGTTAGAAAAATGGTTCCATGGTTAAAGTGCTTGGTGTTTAAGTGTGGGGACCAGAGTTCAATTCCCCAGCACCCATGTAAAAAGCCAGCTCTGATAATTGTTCTTATTGGGTTTTTTGTTTGTTTTGTTTTGTTTTTCGAGACTGCCAGTCCACTTGTGTTTGGTAATTTTGGAGAAAACGGTCTGTTATCTATTCTATCTTGGTGAGGTCAAAGTTTTATACCTAATTAACTTTTTATCATAGCTTGTATTTCCAACCTAGACCTTAAGACATATTCTTTCATAAACAATTGAAGCTTCATGTCTCTTCACCTTGATAAACTTTACATATCTTTTGTGGGTGTCTTTTCCAACTTTGGTAACAAGGAAAATTGTAACAATAAATATCTATTCTTCAATCTCAAAAAAAAAAAAAGCCAGCTCTGCAGCATATTCTTGAAATCTCAGTGCTGAGGAGGTGGAGACTGGAGGATCCCTAGGACATGCTGGCCAGCCAATCCAGCTGTAGCAGAGAGCTCTGGGAAAACAGTGACTGAAGACGCTGACATTGATCTCTGGTTTCCATACACAGGCATGTGCACAGGAACATACACAGAGACACACACGCACTCATTCAAACAAACAAGGTAGATAAAAATCCCATCACTGGGACAGCAAAGGCAGGTGGACCTTTTTGAGATCATGGAGCTCCAGGCCAGTCAAAACTACATAGGAAGGCTGCTTCAAAGAAGAAAAGTACCCTTCATAATATCAAACACAATAAATTTCTAAACAAATAAAACAAAATATATGAACACTCCTTATGCTGAAAACTCTAAGTGATAAATCAAAGAAGCAAGTCCAAAATCAAGTAGACTGTGACATTAAATCTCACTCTCTTAAAGAGACATTATCTAATTTATTTCTTGAGTTCCAAAAATGTCTCCTGATGCCAGGTAAGTATATTTTTGCTTACATTTTACAGAGCAAGTTGGAGCTACTGAGCTTGTATGGAGATTAATAAGTGTTATAAAAGGCTAAAAATCAGTCATGCCTCTAGAGAAATGAAAACAAACGTTCATGCAAAATCCACATGCGAATGTTTATGGCAATTCTATCCCTAAGCCCCCAAAGTTGGAAGCAGCCCAAGTGGTCATCAATGGGTCAATGTACAAACTACAGTGTATCCTTGGCATGGAGTACTAGTCAGCAATTTTATATACACACACACACACGTATATACCAACCACTGAAACATACAATGACTCTCAAAGGCATTATTATGCAGAATAGAAGGTGCCATTTTCAAAAAGTTACATACGTTATGACTCTCTCTGAATAATATTCTCATACGACAAAATGATGATTGATATAATAATCAGCTACCAAGGTTAGGAACTGAGAGAACAACTACTAAGGGTTAGCATGTGCAAGATGCTGAAGGCAGTGCCTGTTCTGTGTCCTGACTCATACGGTTAGATCAATCTCTGACATGCCTGACTCATACGGTTAGATCAATCTCTGACATGTCAAAATGTGAAATGTGGACCGATTTATAGCATTTGAATTTGGAAAGAAAGCTTGCGCTGTGTGTGAGTTCTGTGTGCATTGCACACACCTGAGTGATGTGGGAGTGTCATATATCAATCTTTTGATTTCATTGGTTAAGTAATAAACAAACTACTTGGGCTCATAGCTTAGAACATAGGTGGGTGGAGTAAACAGAACAGAATGCTGGGAGGAAGAGGAAGTGAGGGCAGACGCCTCAGCAGAGACGCCATGCCCCGCTCCCAGGCAGACAGACGCGATTCAGCTCCGACCCAGGATGGACATAGGCTAGAATCTTCCCGGTAAGCGCACCTTGGGGTGCAACACAGATGATTAGAAATGGGCTAAATTAATATGTGAGAATTAGCCTAGAAGAGGCTAGATAGAAATGGGCCAAGCAGTGTTTAAAAGAATACAGTGTCCGTGTAATTATTTCGGGGCATAAGCTAGCCAGGCAGCCGGGGTGCTGGGGACGCAGCCCCGCCGCTCTTATTACTACACCTGAGTGTGCCAGTGTACATGCTTGTGCACACACACGGAGGGCAGAGCTGGACAGCAGATGTTTCCTGTATATTCTCTACTTGATTACCTTGAGACACTGTCTCTGAGTTGGAAACTTGCCTCCTGGCTAGTCTGCCTGACCATCCACCACCCTGCCTGTTCCTGAAATGCTAGGGTTGCCAGGTAGACAGAGCTATGCCTGGTTCAGGCCTGCCTAGCTATTTATGTAGCTGCTGGGGATCGAAACTCAGACCCTCCTGTTTGCTGGACGATTATCAAAAACAGTGGGCCATTTCCTTAGTGCTTGGAAACAAACAAATAAAAAAAAAATAAAAACTGAGATTTCAGGACTACCAACTAATTAACTAAAAAAGAAACAAGGGAACCCTCCAGCCTGACTGCTGGTAATATACAAGGATATCAGTACTTTTGTTTGTTTGTTTTTGTTCTTTGAGACAGGGTTTCTCTGTGTGTCCCTGGCTGTCGTAGAACTCACTCTGTAGACCAGGCTGGCTTCAAACAAGGATTAAAGGTGTGTGCTACCACACTCAGCTTGATAAGTCACTTTGTTTCCTTCCTTCCTTCCTTTTTTCTTTTGCAACAGTGTTTCTCTGTGTAGCCCTGGCTGTCCTGAAACTCTGTCAACCAGGCTGGCCTCGAACTCTCAGAGACCCACCTGCCTCTGCCTCCCGAGAACTGGGATTAAAGGCATGTGACACCACCATGGTCATTTTATTTTTTACAAAGTGAAGCATACATCTACTGGCTGATAAAGCCATTCTCCTTGCAGACCCTTTAAAAGAGAGCTGAACTTTATCTATATAAAGCCGTAACTACACGGATGTTAATGATTAATTTGTGGCAGCCTTAAACTGGTAATAATCTAAAGATTTGTGAACTGGTGAATGAATAGGCAAACTACATTACATTCCATACATTGGAACGTTAGCATAGAGTTAACATTTTAGTACACAGGAGGGTGAATTTCAAAATTATCATAATTGAAGAGCTCAGAAAGAAATCTGAAGAGTTACTATACGTTTTCACTGATAAAACTTGTAGAAAATGCAGAACAATCAGTCCATCATGTTAGAAATCAGATCCGTGGTTGTCTGGGTATAGGAAGCAAGGAGACCATATTTAAGTGCTCAGTAGGTTTTAAAAAAAAAAAGTCCACGGTAGTGAGTTATAGAAAAGGGCTAAGCAGGGTCAGGAGAGAGATGGCTCAGAGGTTAAGAGTGATTGCTGCACTAACAGAAGACAAAGGTTCAAATCCCATCTCCCATCTTTAACTCCAGTTCCAGGAAATGCCCTCTTCTGACCTCTATGGCATACATACATAAATGCAGGCAGTACACATAAAATTTTAAAAATCTTTTTTAAAAGCTAAGTAAAAACAATTTTACATAAACATTTAACATACTTAGTAAGTGTGAGAAGTAAACGAAAACAGCGTTAAATGGGTTTTCAGGTGTCCCAGTAGTGACACTATTACTGTCTCTTTAATGTAAGACCACTGAGACAAGGCGAGAATAAATGACTTGTCCCTTGGCTACCTCAGTCAGAGGTTCTAATCCAACTTCTTTCCTCTTCCACCTCTGAGACTCTACACTGGAGCAATAGAGAAAAGCAGAAGGCGCTGTGAAAGCCGCTAGCGGCATGGCGTCAAACAACAACAACAAAAAGGAACTCCTCTTTTGTTTGTTTTGTTTTTCGAGACAGGATTTCTCTGGCTATCCTAGAACTCGCTCTGTAGACCAGGCTGGCCTCGAACTCTGAGATTCCTTGCCTCAGTCTCCCAAATGCTGGGATTAAGGGTGTGTGGCACCGCCGCCTGGCTAAAATGAAGCACTCCCCCCTCCCCCAAACAACACGCTCCACTTCTTGAAAACATCTTTAGAGATCCTTCTCTGAAATTGACCTGCACAGGTTCTTGGGACGCAGACTCCCTGGAAAGGAAACGGGAACTGCTAATTAGAAAAGATCGCTGTGTGTGGATACTTCTTAGTTATAAGATAAAGATGGTGACAAGGGCGAGCGCCCCAGCCACAGCGCCACTGGAAAACGTAAACTCTGAAGACAGACAGCCAGGAGCAGAAAACCAGGCTGGCTGGGCACTGATGCAAAAGCTTTACCCGATGCTTCCCAAACACCTCTGGCAGATCTAAGAGGACTCGGTCCAGGCTTCGTCACGCAAGGCAACGACCTAGCCCTCGGACGCCGGGAGAAGGGGCCGGGACACTCGAGGCCCGGTCCCGGATAGCGGCGACAGACACCGGCCTGGAAGGCGCACCGACCCGCAGCCGCTCCTCGCTCTCACCTCTCCAGTTCTTGTACTGGGCGATGTAGTAGTATTTGTTCCCCAGATGGTCCGTGCCTACGTGCTCCCTCACCTCCTTCGACAGAGAGCTCCACAAGGAGCGCAGCACAGCCCGCCACCAGCCCATGCCGCCGCGCGGAGCTCAGTGTACCGGGACTCGCGCCGGCCGGGAGGGCCCGCCTACACGAGGCCCCGCCTACCGCTCAGGTTCGCGTTCTCGCGCCTCCCAGTAACGCCGCTCCCCGTTGGTTACGTCACATCGCGGATGAGCCAATGGGAGACGGTGTTGCTACACCTCGGGCCAAGTTGTGTCATGGCGGCACCCAGGCCTCGAGCCGGTGAGCGGAACCGAGATGTTGAGTTTTCTGTCCGCTCGACAGACGGGTTTGGAGGACCCTCTTCGTTTGCGGAGAGCGCAGTCCACACGGAGGTAGGGGACGCCTTGTCTTTTCCTCTAACGTACGGAGTGAAACTCCCGAGCAGGGACTTAGGATGGCAGGACCGTTGGTCCGGAGATGAAGAAGTCGGCAGGTGCCAGAGAGGAAGACCCGCATGTGCACGTAGAGCAAAGTCTGAAGGTGGAACGCCGGTCACAATTATCGTAGCTTGCCGTCTGCTTGAAGAATGTAGTTGAAAGTGGGTGTGGGTCGAGTTAGGGAACTGTCGCTCCAGGAGAGCTGATGGGCGTTCATTCAGGGAGTGAGGTTGCAGGTGGAATGGATAGAGCTGGGAATTATCGAAGAAATAGATCGGATGTGTGGAGTTTGAGGCTCAGATATATGCCTGTGGGTCAAATGCTGGTGGCGTACTCCAGATTTTCCCAAGGGGAAGCCGTGCTTGTAATTTTGCACTATTTTGAAATACCCCATAGGATCCCTGAACATGACAACTGACTTTTCACCAAAGCACACTGCAGCGGAAGGTGGGAGGCAGCCTCTTCACGTGACCTAATCTCGGGATTTCTCGCTCATCATTTTTGTCATATCCTAGCCAATCAGAAGTGAGTCACAGATCTGGCTCGCTCAAGGTGAGCGAATTACCAAAGCTCACCAATACTAAGAATTAGAGACCACTGAAAGACGATTCCAGGCTTCCAGGATCATTGAGAAACAAACAAAACCAACAAATTGTCTACTTTCAATAATTACGCTTTATATACTGAAATATAATTATATTGCGTTCATTTTTACATTTTAGTGTTCTGTATTTAGAATAATACCTTCCAAAATGTATTTAAATTGTTTTAACTAAATGAGTTAACAGGCAACCTTTTTACAGCCACATTTTGCTGAGTTCTAAACATGATCGGCGCTGTTTGTATCTGCTCCTTATGTTCTCTCATCAGTCCGTGCAGAAATGACTCCTTTCTAACTCACTTCTGCATTCTTGGACATAGACAGAAGTTTTCATTTCGGAGACTACAAGAACCTAACATCAGGATTGCCCATCTTTCTGATTATGTGACTTGTTACTCCAACTAGTTCTGGGGTTTCTTCTTTATGTTCAGCAAAGGAAACACTGGGAAATGAATGGCCGTGTTTACTTCACCTTAATTTCAGCTAAAAAACTTTTTTAAAAACAGCATTACTCTTTTTCTCCTTGTAGTTAATAGTTAGTCTTATAATAATTTAAGTAAGTAAGCCACAGAGGATCTGCAAATGTGGGATTCAAGTCTTAATGTCCAAATGTCCTTGTTCTAAGGAAGCCCTGAGGTCTTTGTCAACAGTCTGTGACCTAAATTTCTTGTTTCATTAGAAAATAAAAGTTACAAACAAGTAAGAGGTCCCACTAGATTAATCTACCTTCAACGAAATTCATTTCTCTGTGAAGTGTTATTCCCAAAGCACAATTTTGTGCTTCTGCCTGCAAACTTGTATCTTAGCAACACCAAACACTTTTCCCCACCAGTTGTCTTGTGTGTTTATAATAAAATGGTACTGGCTGTGCTTGGATTGAGACCATTGATGGGATCTGAGGCTTTTCTGCTTTATGTTCAACCCTGGAGGAGCCAAGTCTAAGACCTAAAAGCCCACCCCCATGGTGACACACCTCCTCCAACAAGGCCACACCTCTGCATCTAATAATGCCACTTCCTATAGGCCAAGCATTCAAACTTGAGTCTATGGGGGCCATACCTTTTCAAGCCACCATGACATCCGATGACTGCACAGATTGTATCCCAGTATCTTTTTTCTTTGTAGATAGATTGATATCTATATCAATTGGTTGCTTTTTTTTTGAGATTTATTATGTTTTATTTCTCCAATAAATATAGCAACATGTGCACAAATTTTGATTTACAAATGCAAAAATGATGGTAAATACCCCCACAAGGGTTCAATTCGTACTTTCCCACAAAACAAATTTGCAGCAATTCTAGGTGTTTTTTTGATTTAGGACACAAAAGCAAAGGAGATTCGACTATAAATGTTTCCCTTTCAGTCTTACGCTGAGATGATTGACAACTGCTGCTGCTTTTTCTCTAGCAAAAGTTCCTGGTTTATAACACATGTGTCAAAAGTTTCCACCTGGGGAGGAAGGCGTATGAACAGATGTGTACGTGGGTAGCGTATCTCTTGGGACACCAGGGTTGCTTTAAAGCTGTCTTTAGTTGTCAGCAATTTGGCTGTGGTGTGTCTAGATGTAGCGTTCTCTAGGTTTACTCTACATGCATCTGTTTTACTTCTCGAGTTTGTAGGTTCACAGCGAGTTTTCAGTCATTTTTCCTTCTGGCTGTACTGCCTGCCCTGTGTTCTTTCTCTTGTCCTTCTGGAGTCTGGTTAGATTAACCTTAGTCCTGTTTTACTTGTTCCTTTGGTCCCTAAAGTTCTATTATGTCCTCTCCCCAAGTCTTTTCCTATATGTTGTTAGCTTGTGCCAGTTCCCATCTGCTACCGAGTCCGTTAAGTGAGTGTGGACGTGTTTATAATCTCTCGCACAAGCATTTTCTACGACTGCCTTGAGGTGTGGCTCCAAAGCCATGCTGTCTCAGCTATAGCTCCTCCTGATTGAAGTCTTTTCCCATGGAAGTTGTAATTTCCATGGTTCTTCATATGCAGAATAAATAATTTTGAATTTCATCTGAATACTTTGAGCACTTGCAGGGTGTGGCGTCCTTCTTTACTCTATGAAAAATATTGATATTTTTGTTTCAGTAGTAATTTATCAGATTAGATATAGGCTATGATTCCTACCTCTCTGTAGGCTGTGCTTCAAAACCACTAGGTCTTCCACAGTGCATGACTCTCACTGGCCAGGCAGTGACCTAAGTTGCATGTGGTTGAGTCTGGAAATTCTTTTGCGGAGTATTCAGGATTGAATCCATGCATATTGCACTTGAGGATGAGTCTTGGAGTTTGTGAACTGTTTTATGGACTCTCCTTCTGATCTCCTTCTTTGCTGTGATTGCCCAGTTTTCTGGAACTCCCATCTTGGTCCTTCAGTCAGTAAATTTGGCCTATGGTTACTGTCATACCACACATTTCATGTTTGGGCCCAAGGCAGAATTCAGAATAATAAAGACATGTAAAAAAATCAAGACACTAATGGGAAAAAGAAAATAATTCACTTCGTTTAAACTGCTGCAGGAAGAAGTATAATTTGCATTTCTATGCTCTCAGAGAAATGAGAATCTTTTTAATTGTGTAATTCAAACTTTTATCCACTGGGTGTCCTCAGTCAAGTTTATCAGAATCTTTTTCTTGAAAATTTATCCCTAGATAACTTTTTAAGGACTAAACTCTTTAAATGAAATTTAAGGTAATGTTTCAAGTGAAATATTTGCATATAGTTGTTGGGAACTTGTTTGAGAGGCTTACATTTACAAATCTGAACACCTTTAAATATGGTAAGAGACTAAAGATTTGCAGTAATCCATGTAATCTTGGGAAAATAAGGAATTTGCTTATGTTAAAGTTTTTCTTATTGCTAAGTTTTTTCTTTTTCTCTTTAATTTTTGAAGGGTCCTGGGACTGGAGTTAAACAAAGACAGAGATGTTGAAAGAATCCATTGCAGTGGAGTTAACACTCTTGACATTGAGCCTGTTGAAGGAAGATAGTAAGTTGTGTCTTCACTTTTCTATCTAAATGAGATGCAGTAAAATCTTGTCTTTTTAGATTGATTAGTAGAAATCAGTTATAATATGTTAAAAAATTTAAATTGTTGCATTTGTTGAGCTGGCATTTATTCATTTGAAATAAAAACAAAATCAAATATGCAAAATGTTGCCAGCTCGATCAATACTCCAAACTACTGTGGCATAGATATATTCATGTTAAATCAATAAACCCAGGAATTTATGTTATGCAGTAGGTTTCTAAGTGCTGGGATGTGTCTTGGGTGCTCTTTTAAATATAGTTGTTACTGTCAAGAAATCTAATGGGAACTAAAATAGAAAAGCAGAAATGTATTTGGCAAATTAAGTTTGAAGCATCAATTTTCCTGAGTTTCTTTTTTACCAGCTCTGTGACCTGTGCAATTACCTAACCTTCCAAATTTCCAGTTGCCATAGCTGTTTGATGGGAATGATCGTGTTTAGCTTATTTGTCATAAGAATTTGAGAAAATCTACTGAAAGCAGCTTCACATGCATGTTGAATTGTTTCAGCTCATTGTCCACACTGTAGCTAGTCACAATTTGTCGTCACACCACACTACTCATATAGGAGGGGTTGGGGGACAATGCAACTGTCCGGCAGAATATATGATTTGCATGCACAAGGATCTGGGTTCAATCTGGAGCAGAAGGGGGAGGAGAAAAGAACAGCAGTAAGGAAGGTGAACTCAGAGCCCTTCATGAGGGCTGAGGCTGTAGTTCAGTAATGGACCCTTAAATAGCATGCACAAGGACCTGGACTCAAGCCCCACACTACAGAAAATAGAACAAATCAGTCTTTATGTGCTCTACAATTAGACCTTGTATATTTAAAAAAAAAATGAGAAAGAAAGAAAAAACTAAGGAAAATAGTTTCTCGTGCTATAGTCTGTTCAGCAGTCACCCTAGAGTTTTGTTTTAGTAAAGTATTGTCCTTCGCTTTAACGTAAGTCAGGATAGGCCTGGCAGAATCGCACTTTCTGCTTTTACCTCTGCCATAATAATGGTGTGTAAGAAATGTGTGGTGAACAGAGTTCTCCATTTAGCACGTGGCTAAATTTAAAAGATGGTACACAATAATTCTTTCCTTTTCCCTAGCTTTTCAAGGCAAAACATAGTATTTCCTGTTCAAAGACAGTTGTGGGGCTCGCATTTGTCAAAATAGGTGCAGATCCAAGGAATAAAGGACAGATGATTTCTTTTGGTCGTTGGTGCGAGTGGGGAGAAAATATAGTAGTGTTCCAGCCCAGCTGTGTGGCATGGTGGAACCTGTTAGCAGAGTCAGTCTGAACTGGTGAATTACAGTTTACATATGTGTGGAGTATGTTTGAGGAATATAGGCTGAAGAGCATTTCCACGGGGCTGTCGGAGTCCCACTCAGCATAGCAGCACTCCCTTTAATACATGGTAAAAGGTACAATTGTTTATTTCTTTGTTTGTTAAGACATATTCAGTCCCACTCAGGAGCAAGAAGAAATCAAGATGAAAGTATATGTCAAATCGAAAACCAAGTCTTTTATTTCCTTAACAAACATCAGTGTACATTTAAGTTGTTCAAAATTCTTTTAATATTTATCATCTACTATGAACGCTGTAGCAGAAGCACTAAAAACCACAGTCACAGCCAGAATGCACGGATCTGGTAGACCAGTCTGCAGTTCCACAATTAGGTGTGCTTTTAAGAAGACTACCTATACACTGCATTTTTGTAGGTTCAACTACAGAGAATACGTTTGCATACCACCTATGAAGATTAAATTTTGTATATCTTATAAATTCTAATTTATTCACCTTCTGTAAGTTTCCTCCTTTAACATAAAAGCAGTGCCCTACCTCTTTAATATTGTTGGCTGAGGTTTCTGTCCCACCCAGTCCTGCAACCTTTCAGCCCCAAAGAAATACACAGAGGTCTACATTAATCATAAACTGATTGGCCTATTAACTCAGGCTTCTTATTAACTCTTATAACTTATATTAGCCCATAATTCTTGTCCGTGTTAGCCATGTGGCTTGGTACCTTTTTCAGCGAGGCAGTCACTTCTTGCTTCCTCTGTGTCTGGATGATGACTGCAGACTGACATTTCCTCTTCCCAGAATTCTCCTGTTCTCATCACCCTGCCCTTACTTCCTGCCTGGCTACTGGCCAATCAGCATTTTATTAAAATACAATTGATAGGTTAGAGACCATCCTCCTACAGCATAATATGATCATGATTAGCAAAATTCTAACCTCATAGTTAAGTAATATTGGTGTAAGATACTAAACAGAAAGTCATTTAATTTCAAGAAAGCATGTCACACCTCAGTAACAGGCGAGACTGGAAGGAGCTCAGTGTGGCCCTTGTAATCATTCCTAGGAACTAATAGGTCAACGCTCCCTGCAGAACAGAGCCCCACACTGAAGAATAGAACCCAGCTTGAGCAGTGTGGTGCTAGAGACATGGGAAAGGACAGCTCACCTAAAAGTTTAGGACATGAACAGAACCAGAAAAAAATTCTAATTAAAAACGTTTGTTTTTAAGTATCTTTCAAAAGAAAAGAAAATATATTTTAGAATGAGGATTTTTCTGAGAATAAAAGTTTAAATGTTATTCTAAATCTGGATTATAAATTCTAAACCTAAATTCTAACTCCATTCTGAAAGAATAGGAAAATATGCAAAAATAGGATATGAGATGTAAGAGCTAAGAGAATAAAGAGAACTGATGGCCACTGCAATGACTTCATGCCTGACAGGTTATGTCATAAGATGTGAGAATGCTAATGTGATATTGCAAAATTAATGAAAAGTCAGTTTGTTGTCATGTATGTGTGGTACACATTCATGTGTGTATTTACATGTGTGCAGCTCCTGAGGCATCTGAACTTTGGTCATTATGTTTGTGTGGCGGACACTTTACCAACTGATCCATCTCTTGCCTAATCCCCAAAACATGGAATCCATGAAAGAATAAATTCAAATTTAAAAAATCTCAGAAATGAGGTTACCAAACAATGGAAAATTAGAAATAAAAGAAAAATATTTCAGAAATGAGACAAAGCATAAAGAACACAAGCAAATCACCACAGGTGTAATTCCTTAGAAACAGAAGGCAAAAGTGTAGAGAACTTAAGATTAGGAAAAAAGGGATGAAGGACCAGGCTGTAGCTCAGTAGTGGAGTGCTAGCCTTTCATGTGTGAGGTTATAGGCTCAATCCCAGCACTAACAACAGATGTGAAGGTAGTCAGACAAACAGAATAAAAGCCAAGAAGACCCAGACTGCATATGACAAGAGTCGACACAGAAAACCAATGCAAGCAAGCAAAATAACCTTGAGACTATAATAAAATAAACCTTTTTACATGGAGTAAAATCTACAACTAGAACCAGGCATGGTGGCAAACACCTTAAATCTTAGCACTCGGGAGACAGAGGCAGATGGGTCTCTGAGTTCAAGGTCAGCCTGGTCTACAGATCTACAACTATGTGTAAAGGAAAAGGTTACACTGTCAGTGTGTGTGTAAGGGAAAGGGTCATATTGTCACTGTGTGTAAGGGAATGGGTCACACTGTCAGTGTGTGTGTAGGGGAAAGGATCATACTGCCATGTGTGTAAGGAAAGGGTCACACTGTCAGTATGTGTGTAAGGGAAAGGGTCACACTGTCAGTGTAGGGTGAAGGGTCACACTGTCAGTGTGTGTGTAAGGAAAGGGTCACACTGTCAGTGTGTATGTAAGGAAAGGGTCACACTGTCAGTGTGTGTGTGTAGGGTGAAGGGTCACACTGTCAGTGTGTGTGTAAGGGAATGGGTCACACTGTGAGTGTGTGTGCAAGGGAAAGGGTCACACTGTCAGTGTGTGTGTAGGGTGAAGGGTCACACTGTCAGTGTGTGTGTAAGGAAAGGGTCACACTGTCAGTGTGTGTGTAAGGAATGGGTCACACTGTCAGTGTGTGTGTAAGGGAATGGGTCATACTGTCAATGTGTGTGTAAGGGAAAAGGTCACACTGTCAGTGTGTGTGTAAGGGAAAAGGTCACACTGTCAGTGTGTGTGTAAGGGAAAAGGTCACACTGTCAGTGTGTGTGTAGGGTGAAGGGTCACACTGTCAGTGTGTGTGTAAGGAAAGAGTCACACTGTCAGTGTGTGTGTAAGGAAAGAGTCACACTGTCAGTGTGTGTGTAAGGAAAGGGTCACACTGTCAGTGTGTGTGTAAGGAAAGGGTCACACTGTCAGTGTGTGTGTAAGGAAAGGGTCACACTGTCAGTGTGTGTGTAAGGAAAGGGCCACACTGTCAGTGTGTGTGTAAGGAAAGGGTCACACTGTCAGTGTGTGTGTAAGGAAAGGGTCACACTGTCAGTGTGTGTGTAAGGAATGGGTCACACTGTGTGTAAGGAAAGGGCCACACTGTCAGTGTGTGTGTAAGGAAAAGGTCACACTGTCAGTGTGTGTGTAAGGAATGGGTCACACTGTCAGTGTGTGTGTAAGGGCATGGGTCACACTGTCAGTGTGTGTGTAAGGAAAAGGTCACACTGTCAGTGTGTGTGTAAGGAATGGGTCACACTGTCAGTGTGTGTGTAAGGAAAGGGTCACACTGTCAGTGTGTGTGTAAGGGAAAGGTCACACTGTCAGTGTGTGTGTAAGGGAAAAGGTCACACTGTCAGTGTGTGTGTAAGGAAAAGGTCACACTGTCAGTGTGTGTGTAAGGAAAGGGTCACACTGTCAGTGTGTGTGTAAGGAAAGAGTCACACTGTCAGTGTGTGTGTAAGGAAAGGGCCACACTGTCAGTGTGTGTGTAAGGAAAGGGCCACACTGTCAGTGTGTGTGTAAGGAAAGGGTCACACTGTCAGTGTGTGTGTAAGGAAAGGGTCACACTGTCAGTGTGTGGGTAAGGAAAGGGTCACACTGTCAGTGTGTGTGTAAGGAAAGGGTCACACTGTCAGTGTGTGTGTAAGGAAAGGGTCACACTGTCAGTGTGTGTGTAGGGTGAAGGGTCACACTGTCAGTGTGTGTGTAAGGAAAGGGTCACACTGTCAGTGTGTGTGTAAGGAAAGGGTCACACTGTCAGTGTGTGTGTAAGGAAAGGGCCACACTGTCAGTGTGTGTGTAAGGAAAGGGTCACACTGTCAGTGTGTGTGTAAGGAAAGAGTCACACTGTCAGTGTGTGTGTAAGGAAAGGGTCACACTGTCAGTGTGTGTGTAAGGAAAGGGTCACACTGTCAGTGTGTGGGTAAGGAAAGGGTCACACTGTCAGTGTGTGGGTAAGGGAAAGGGTCACAAAAAGCCCAAAGGAAGACTTTTTTTTTGGTTTTTCGAGACAGGGTTTCTCTGTGGTTTTGGAGCCTGTCCTGGAACTAGCTCTTGTAGACCAGGCTGGTCTCGAACTCACAGAGATCCGCCTGCCTCTGCCTCCCAAGTGCTGGGATTAAAGGCGTTTGCCACCACCGCCCGGCTTGATACATATTTTTAAATCAAGTTAAATATGTAAAAATCTTCCTTCCGTACACATGTCAGCAACATATTTCTTCCTTCGGTCACTAGACTGAGTACGGATCGCAAACTTCCCATACCTTGCTGGCTACTTTCTCTTCTGCCTTCAGGTACCAGTTTTAATACAATATAACCAAGGATGCTATCCTTGAAGCTTCAAGCTAAAATAAAAGGAGCATCCATTGCCACAGTGATTCCAATTAGTACATAGAGTTTGTGAGGCAGTTACAAAGTCATTCCTGCTAGACTGGCCTTCCAGGTGGTCGGTGTCATTCCCAGTTATTAGCACAGTGCCTTATGCTCTGTAGGCACTCTGGACAAACAAAGTGAATGATTATGATTATGAAGGAAAGGAAGCCTGCTTCCATTTACTGCCATGTCAGCTTTGTTATTTAGGGGAGAACTCCCCCAACACACACTCCATTGTTGCTATTCTTACAAATGTTGAAAGGTTGAGATAGGTGATATAACTTGCCCAGGAACAGGTAGCCACTGTTTTCATTTCGTACAGATTTAAGAAGACATGTAAAATAATACTGTAATGTTTTACTTTCTTAAGTGTCTTTTCCATCTTATTTCTACCATCTTTTCTTTTTTGCAGTTGTTGGGGTAAACTTAAAATGATCAGAGATTGAGGTTTTCTGTATCTGTTCTTTTGTAAATATTAAGAAATTTTAGTTTATTAAAGTCTGTTAGAATTAACTGTACTTATTACCTTACTACTTTGGGGTGTATATAGGCCAGTGTTTGCAGATATGAAATCATCATCAATAGGTGGACTTCTTACAGTGATTAATGTGACTTTTTCCATTGTCAGCATGTTATCGGGTGGTTCAGATGGTGTGATTGTACTCTATGACCTTGAGAACGCCAGCAGACAACCCTATTACACATGTAAAGCAGTGTGTTCCGTTGGCAGGTGTGTATTTGAAAGTGTAACTCATGAGTATGTAAACAGTTCAGTATTGTTTGCATCAAATGCAAAACATGAAAATAGCAGTCATATGCACGACAGAAGCAGCTTTTTCAATTGACTGAGAATTCCCTTGATGCTTTTTTAAAAAACAATTAAAATTTGATAGATTTTTTTTTTGTCATGTGATTTCCTCCAAACAGTTTTTGTATCAGCTCTCAAATGAAATTCTAAAAAGACTTTTGTGTCTTTTTTGTTCTGCACCTACAGAGCATACCTCAGTGGCTATGGTTTTAATACCACTTAGTATAAGATTCAGTTATGAATGTTTCGCGAATTATAAATACAAACTAAATTTTCAACTCATGCTGAAGGAGAATAGATTAAAAACATGATGTAATAAATGTATAGGCAGTCCTCTCAACACACACACATGTGTGCCCTTCTTTCTTGTCTGTTACTCACTCAAAAGGTTCAGCTTGAACTGGGTGGCGGTGGTGCATGCCTTTAATCCCAGCACTAAAGAGGCATAGGCAGGCGGATTTCCACCCTTGTCTACAGAGTGAGTTCCAGGACAACTCCAAGGCTACATAGAGAAACTATCTCAAAAAACAAGACAAAACACAACAAATAAAAATGCTCAACTTAAAATAGCCCTGTTTGTCCTGACTTCCTTAGCTGTTTGGTAGTTCTTTTGTGACAGTCATTTAAAGCTCTTTTGCCGTTTCTCTGATCTGTTAAGTCAACTTTGCCTTAGAGACTAGCTGCCAAGAGGTGTTCTCACAAGAAGCTCACAGATCTAAGCAGCCACCCTTTTGTAGATATTCCCAAAGCATGGAAAGGCCCTGAGGTCATGGTCCCGAAGATTTATAATTGTGTGTCTACAGTGTTGATTCATTTTAGAAACACAATTATTGAAAATCTTTCTGAGACTCAGCTTGTTTTGTTTTAGAGGTAATTTTATTTGCTCCCTCATTCTTACCAGGTTTCTGTGAATATTATTGTTAAAGCATCTTGAAAGCTGTTTAAAAAAACAAAACTATTGTGTAAATGGAAAGGAATATAGCTAAAGAAAAAGTCCAGGGTCAGCTGGGTGGCTCAGTGAGTTCTGTCCTTGACCCCACACAGTAGAAGAGAAGTGGCCTTTGACTCCAGGTCCATTTAGCAAACAACAGTAGTAGGCAAGTTGCTGCAGAGCCTGTGAACTCCCCAGCATGGACTTTTGGCCACATTTACAATACCAGCACTGTTAGTGTTCAGGCACCTACTGGCCTCTCCTTGGGGTCCTGACAGCTGCAGCCACTAAGGACACCTCCTGTGCACATTCGCTACATTTCCTTTTAAAAGGTGGATCTTGCCCACCTCCCTTGTCTTGTTTGGCTCTCTCTCTCTCCCTCTCTCTCTCTCCTGCTACTTTATCTCCAGAGACTAGTCTCCATCCCCCTCTTTGTCCCCTACTCTTCCCTTTTCTCTGTCCCTTTTTCTGTCCCTTTTCTCTCCTCTTCCAGTAACCCCCCATGTGAGCCCTGTTGTATGGCATGACTGTCCCTCCTCACTGCTTTTTACATTTTAACAAGGACTAAGTTCTTTCTGTGGAGCAGACCTCAAATCCAGTCTTGACACTGTTCACTACCTTGCCTGGTAGGTTGGGATTGTAGGATGCAGGGTCCATTTCTGGGTGGAACCACTGAGGAGACTTCTCTCCTAGTGGCTTGCATAACACCTCCCCACCATAAAAGCTAGCCTGTTGGGAGGAGAGAGAGAGGGAGAGAGAGAGAGTCAAACAAGACAAGGGAGGTGGGCAAGATCCACCTTTTAAAAGGAAATGTAGCGAATGTGTATAGTATTTATAGTATTTTTAATAATTAGTATAGTATTGTGGCTTAGACTACGTTGTAATATTTATTCTCAATATACTTAATTTATTTGTTCTTGGACATTAAAAAGATTCTATTACCAATATTTTTACTAAATGTGCATGGGAATAATGTCATATATAAGAGAATGATACAATATCATATCCTGTTTTAAAATTTAAATTTAAAATATAAATGAGCTTTTGTTTGTATTTCTACAATAAGAACTGGTTTTATTTAAAACAACTCACCAGAAAGTCTATATTGAAATCAAGATTCTTAGAGGATATCAAAGTTAATTCTGTTTATTTTAAATAGAAACTTACTGAAATGATGATTGTATATCATGAAATTGTGGAGAAAATTAGAGAATCAAATTTACTCGAAGGAAGGAAGGAAGGAAGGAAGGAAGGAGAAAGAAAGGTTAAAGCAAGGAACAGCCAAGGTCACACTACAGAAATAATTCCATTAACTTTAGTACATGTGACCAGTGTTGGCCAACTCCACAGCCCTGACTAATAGCTAACTCTCCTGGGGATTTCCATTCAGACCTGGACAATGATAGTTCCTAACAGATCAATAAAGCTAAGCACGCAACTTTGGTGCCAAGGAAGAGGAAAAGACAATGCCTAGAGTCCCTCGATTTCTATAGCAGAAAGTAGGTACTTACTTGCTCATAACAAGGCAGAGGTTCCTTGTAACTAGGAGGAGTTTGAATCCTTAACAGAAAAGAAAGACACCTGAGTACTGCTGCCCACACATTTGACTCAACGTCTGTATGTGCCTCCCCCGTAGCCTTTAAAAACACGGTTCTGGCATAACCTAATGATGTATCTACAATTCAGAATTATGCAAATTGTGGGCTCAAGTATATAGTTAACCCATATAAAATGATGGAGAAAGCAGCAAAGTTAGTGACTACTTATACATACATGCACACATACAGAAACATGGGTGGTCATACAGACCATATGTTATATACATCTGTCTCGAGGCCAGAGCAGGCCTTTAGGACCTTGCCTCTATTTAGCACTACAGACATTCACTCTTAGAAATTAGAGCCCACAATGGTCCTGTTTGCACAGGGTTACATAATGTTCTATACACTTGTTTGTTTTATTCTTGGAAATTTCTCCCATGTACAAACATAACGAGTATAATAACCTATTTACTCATCACCCAACCTTCACAACTGTCAATCATAAGCTATTTGTTTCATATCTACTACATATTCAAACAGTTGCAGGATTATTTTCAAGTAAATCCCAGATAACATTATTGCATCAATAACTACTTGTTTGTGTCACTGAAATGAAGACCTTTTTTGTAAATATAACTCTAGTACCACTATCTCACATATACAGTAATCCCTGGAATCAAACATCTGGTATTCAGATTGCCTTCATTGTCTCAAAAGTATCACAGTGCCAGTTTGTTTAAGATTGGGTAAGATGGCATACTTACTGTTCTGATGACTGGCTCAGAGAACACAACATGTCTTTTAAGCAAGACAGCCTTTCACAAGATGATACTTGTAATTTCATGATAGGTTACATGAAACTAGTAGGTCCCATTGACACCCACCAATTGCATTCTTTTGTGCCAGAGTAAGTTTCTTGGTAAACAGCAGTGTGTGGGTTCCCATGGCAGTGTGTGAAGCATTCCCCAGTTCTAATAATGATAGTTGAGAAAAGAAAAGCAAAAAGATGTATTTTTCCAGTTAAGAAAACCCCTTCCACCTGCAAGGTGAAAGAAGTTTGCTATGGTTGTCCAACACCCCCACCCCCCAACTGTATACAGTACAGGAATGAGTGATACCTGATGAGCCTTAGGAGAGGGCAGGCCCCCAACATCTCACTGCGGAAACTTAATCTGAAGATGCCTTCTTAACAGCTAGAACAGGATGTGTGATGTGAGTGTAGTAATCCGTATCTCCTTACCCATGCCTGCTACTTTTTCATAATACTACGTTTGAAACCCACCCAAGTCAGCAGTCTCTAAATTTCGATTGCTGTTTTGTAGAAGCCATCCTGATGTTCACAAATACAGCGTAGAGACTGTTCAGTGGTACCCTCATGACACAGGCATGTTCACTTCCAGCTCATTCGATAAAACTCTGAAAGTGTGGGATACAAATACATTGCAGGTAAGTACATTAAAACCTTTCCAAAATGCTATGTAGGATAATGGAAAATTGAATCCTCAACCATATTGGTGTGGTTTCTTGGTAAGACATTCTGTGTGTCAGATATGAAAGTAGTATAGTTAAGGAGAACTAGTGTTTGGGCTTATATCCTGGTTAACTAACTTCTGCTGGTTAACACTTTGACAGTGGGCAAATGCCAGAGCACCTGCATCGTTCCTTTGTCTGTAAATGAGGGCCAAGATGGCACCTTCTAGAATGGTTTTGAGGGTTAAATGAGCCAACATACATAAAATACCTAGCACAAGGCCTAACATGTAACCAGCATTCAAAACCTTAGCAAATATTTTTATTATTTGAAAACTTCAAGCTAAGTAATAGAATTAGACTTTTCCCTTCTTTATCTAAAAACTTGCAGAAAAAGGAAGTTTTCATAATATAGCTTAGTAAAAATAGATAATAGAGATCAGAATTATATAATTAATGAAATTTAATTTATAGTACTACTTATCCTCAGCTTTATATCTACCTGCCTGTAATACCTCTTTATAGAAATGTGACATAATTTTAGAGTTGGCATTTCCCAGGCTAAATAGTAAGTTCTGCGTTATCTTAAAAAAAAAGAAAAAAGAAAAAACCTAAACTAAATAGATTAAATGCATGTCATGAACTTCCCGTTTTGACCACAGTGGAGTACCTTGTAGCTGAACCAATCTCCATTGACAAAACCCAGCAAAGTTCTGTTTAAAGGTTTTGAAAACCTGCTAAGAAATCTAGATTCTGATAGGCTGGTTCTCGGAGAAAACAGACAACTAGTTTATTGAGATGGTGCATTGTAGGCTGGCAGACGTTACTAAAGCAGTGAATGCAACTAGGAAAAAGTGGGCAGGAAAGAATGCTAGGGACTCTGGGGCTTGTTCAAAAGTTCTAGAGTAGTTGGTGAAGAAAGCCAGAAGGATAGATGTTGTGGTTACCGATAACTGCAATTTATCCTTCCAAAGGATTGTGATTAGCATACTGGAAACGGAGGCCACGTGGTGCTGAGAGGCAGATTCCTAGCTAGCTAGAACTTGGATGGAGGTGCTAGCCTGCTGGAGAGGGGTGGTGAGACCATAGAGACGCTAGCCTGCTGGAGAGGGGCAGTGAACCTCTAGAGGCTTGTCTTTCCTTAATTTCTGGGATTTGTTGTTTTAGTTGATAAATTGCTGACAGTCAATTAAAAATATGTTTAAAATGTGGGAAAGAGAATTTGTTAATTGATTTTGCGCATTTTTAACGTCTCTTGTTTAACAGGTTGCAGATGTGTTTAACTTTGAGGAAACGGTTTATAGCCATCACATGTCTCCAGCAGCCACCAAGCACTGTCTGGTAGCAGGTGCGTACACCATCCTTCTGCCCTTTGCATGTGGGACACTGTCCCCTTTTAGGGTTATGTTTGACAGAAAAACTTTAAGCCAGGGAAAGATTCTTTTAAACATTATAAACTAGTGTAAGTCCAGCAATGCTATTATCTGGGATTCAGACTGTGAGAGTATTGATTCTCTATCTCCCTTTTTTTTGGTTTCTTTCAGTTTTTATGTGTTCCCTGAGTTCTTTTAAGTCACTAAACTTTAAGATATTTTATGTGAACAAAATAGGACAGTTTGAACTGGTGAGGTAGCTCAGTGGGTAGGGCTGTCGCTGCCACACCTAATACCTAGCATTTGATCCTTGAAACCCACATGGTAGGATAGAGCTGACTACAGCAGGCTATGCTCCATCCTCGGCTCACACACACAAAGTAAATGTAATGTTTTTAATTTATAAATTTTCAAGTTCAACACAATGAAAGGAAAACTTATTTCTCTCTAACATTGATTGAAAGCAGATACGCATCTATATAATTCCTGTAACAATAACAAATATTAGCGCATAAGGAAGAAAAAATATTAACCTACTATCAGGTATCTGGTCCCCAAGACTCAGTTATTCCTGAGAACTGCATGCCTCTCCTCACAGCTGGACACCAATCAGCTGCTTCATCTATAGGAGAGAGACACTTAACGGATTTGCAAGATCCATTCATCTGAGTCAGACTTGCTATGAAGCTGTGTCTAGCAACTGGAGGGGTAGTAATAGCATTAGCTTGAGAAAACTGAACTGTTGAAATTGAATGATCTTCTGTGATAAAGTGGCAAAGAGCTATAAACACACTTAAAGTGCTGCTAGAGATTTCCTGTGATATTTTACTGTGGTTACCTCTCGGTCGTCTGTGAAGTAGCCCAGCAGCCTGTGCACATCTGTATCTGCTGTGATGAGGATAGACTGTGGACACACACACTGTGTGGATCTGTAACTGTTGTGATGAGAATAGACTGTGGACACACACACTGTGCACATCTGTATCTGCTGTGATGAGAATAGACTGTGTTCCACAGGCTGTGCACATCTGTAGCTGCTGTGATGAGAATAGACTGTGGACCACACAGTTCTGCATGAATACAGTGCAAATACAGGAACATTTCTATAGTCACAAACATTCAAGATGATTTAGAGGTTTGTAAATGTGACATACATTTTATATTCCTGTGTAGATACAGTGAAAGTGTTGTGATTCTTAATTGTAGTTTGCTAGGATCTTATAATTTATAATAAATGCTATATAAAATCTTTTCATTTTTTTCTCTGACAGTTGGTACTAGAGGACCCAAGGTACAACTTTGTGACTTAAAGTCTGGATCCTGTTCTCACATTCTACAAGGTATTTTTCTTAATTGCAACAACTACTACTTTGAGTGAACTAGTCAGTAAAAGGAAACATGACTTACCATGTGTTCTTTGTAAAAGACGTGACTGATGCATTTTGAGCTAGTTGTTAAGTCAGCAAAGAAAGAGAAGTCCTGCTATGCATTATTCTTGTCCAGCAGAACTATTGAGATGTCTGTATGAACAGTGACTGTAAGGGGAACACAGAGGATAAGGAGAACAGGAAAGCCAGCTCAAAACCGTCAGCCATTTCTACGTTTAAACAGACGAGCATTGGGACTTAGGTCATCAGATGGGTCTTGTGTCTGCTGTCTGATAATGTGACTAATGGGGAAGCTTTGTTCCTCATATTTAAAATTTTTTTTTCCTCACTACAAATATTTAGAAAAAGTCTTGAAGCAATACTTTGGGGAAACTATATTAATATAAATGATTTTATTAATTTTTAGCCATCTAATTCTAAACAACAAATGCTGGGATATAATTCAGAAATACACATATTTTATCAGTTTCTGAGAAATATAATAAATATACCAGAAAAACTTGATGGAATGGGTAGCTTTTTTTAAGGTTTATTTTATTCTTTTATATCTATGAGTGTTTTTCCTGCATGTGTGTATGTGCACCACATGTGTGCCTCGTGCCCTTGGAGGTCAGAAGAGGACGTCAGTTCCCCCGAAACTAAAGTTACTGTTTGGAGCTGCAAAAGCAGTAAGGCTCTTAACCACTGAAGCAGTTCTCGAGCCCAATGGGTAGTGATGACATTATTACTAATAATTGCTGTTGATTAAAAAGCTAGGCAGATGAAAATGTCTGATTAGAACAGTTCCATTAGGTAAAACTATTCTTTGAATTTATGACCTGTGTTTTTTAGGAACAAAGCTATTAAGATGCTTTTTCAATCAAATTTTTCTTTTATAACTTTATAAGAAATAAATATTTTATTCTGTAAAATGGTTATATTTTATTACGTGCGTTTCTAATTATGAAGAGAGATGACTCCGTTATGTAGACTGATTGATATAAATTAGTAATTGTATTTTTTTTCAAAACAGAAGCCAGTTCTTTTATATTAAAAGGTGGTGGGTTAAAAACTTCCCACCAGTAGTAGTAAAGAAAAGGATAAACAGGCCACAACCCATGACCCCTGAGAAGCTAGGTAGCAGGAAGACCCTAAGAGAGACATTCATGGATGCCCCTGGGAAGGGGAAATAGATAAGATCTCCTGAGTAAATTGGGAGCTGAGTGTGAAGGGAAGTGGGGAGAAGATGAGGAAATGGGATGGTTGAGTTGAGGGAAGGACAGAGAGGGAGAGCAATGAAAAAGCTATCTTGATAGAGGGAGCCTTTATGGGGTTAGGGAGAAATCTGGTGCTAGGGAAACTCCTAGGGGAGGATGATCCCAGCTAAGACTCCTGGCAATAGTGGTGAGGGTGCCTGAACTGCCCATTTCCTGTAATTAGATTGGTGATCACCCCAATAGTCATCACAGAACCTTCATCCAGTACCTGATGGTAGCAGATGCAGAGATCCACAGCTAAGCACTGGGCCAAGTTCCCAGAGTCCAGTCGAAGAGAGGGAGGAGGGATTATATGAGCAAAGGGGTCAAGATCATGATGGGGAAACCCACAGAGACAGCGGACCCAAGCTCAGTGACTCTGAACTGATAGCTGGGGAACCTGCATAGGACTGAACTAGACCCTCTGAATGTGGGTGACAGTTCTGTGGCTCGGGCAATCTGTGTGCCCTCTGGCAATGGGACCAGGATTTATCTCTAGTACATGAACTGGCTTTTTGGAGCCAATTCCCTATGGAGGGATACATTGCTCAGTCTTGATACAGGGGGGAAGTAGGAGCTTAGTCCTGTCTCAACTTGATATGCCAAAATTTGTTGACTCCCCATGGGAGGCCTTACCCTTTCTGAGGAGTGGATGGGGGAACTGGATGGGAAGAAGGTGGGGGAAACAGGAGGAGAGGAGGGACAGGGGAATTGTGGTTGGTATGTAAAATGGGAAAAAAAAAACCAAACTTTTAAATAAAAAATTTAAAAAAAGAAAATGAAATTAAAAATACTTCTCAGCAATCTCACATTAGTATTTAAACATAGATCCTGCAAGTTTAAGAAGTCATCATATATCTTCACTGCTATTTATGCTTGCTATTTTCTGAGTTAGGCAAAATTATTAGCACCTTATATTTTGTATGTTTTTAAAATATAAGTGTATAATTTTTACACTCTTGGATTTGCAGGTCACAGACAAGAAATATTGGCAGTTTCCTGGTCACCACGCTACGACTATATCTTGGCAACAGCCAGGTAAATTGCAATATATTTGGTTTTACTATTAATATTAATAATTAGAAGCATTTTGAAAGATTGTAGTTTTCATAAGATACATATTTTATTGTATATAATTGTTAATACCTGAAAATGAAATATTGAGTAACAAGTTTGAGTTTACGTCAGCAAAGATTTCCTTTTGTGTGTATGTGCATGTACAGGTGCACATGCTTGTGTGTAAGCCAGGGGTTGACACTCGGTGTCTCCCTCAGTTGCCTTCCACTGTGTTTATCTTCTGCAGCACACAGCTGCACTTAGCTTTTCAGGGACCCGCACTCACGTCCTCATACGGGTGCTGCAGGGTTTACCTAATGGCCATCTGCCCTGTGCCCACCATGGTCATCCATCTTGAAGGCTTTCACTTTTTAGAACAGAGAGAAATCAGGAGAACCTCTGCATAAATCATCTAGCACTGCTAGTAAAACTTGTTATTTTCTACATGGAAGTAAAACACTACTCGCGTAAGATGACATTTTTTAGTTTTTTTAGCCATAACTTTTGTCCTGATACAAAGTATGCATGAATCCATTGATTTAATTTGTTAGTATTTAATGGTTACTATCCTGATGGCGGAAGTCACAAAATAATCCACACTAGTTCAGAATTATGAATAATAAAGGGTTATTTATTTAGGGGAGACTTACAGATCACTGTCCTAGATAACAGCCCTCTGCACAAACAGGGAACAGGAACAGAGTCTAGCAGCTGGAAGCCAGAGCTGGAAGCAAGGAATCAAGAGAGTGAGCACATGCTCTACAGCTGCATTTATAGTATAAGAGACCACACCCAAGTGGGCTTGTATCTTAAAGGCTATTGGGTGAAGGAGCGGAAGGAGCTCCCATAGCACTACCCAGTCCAAATAGTGTACTAAAGGCACAGGTTGATCATGACGTCAGAAAGACCAGTGCCTACAGAACATTCTGGAGTGCCTTAGTGGCAGTAGACCTTGAGTGACTAGTACAGAAAGAGGTCCGGCAGTGTGAGGGTGAGGAATGAGGGAGAAATAGTGAAGAGTGGACCTTCAGTAACTAGTACAGGAAGAGAGCAGGACTGCTTGCTGGTGTGAGGGTGGGGGTTGTCCACTGAAGGGCTGAGATCATAAAGATACTGAATGATAGGCTGTGGGGGAGGGGCTGGCTACAAGTACATAAGCGCTGGACAGCTGTGCTCAGTTCAAAAATGGACTAGAGCTGTACCACTCTAGTCTAGATGTACGGAAATCTAAACATCACATGACACAAACAGTGGTTTTTTGGTGACTAAAGGGAAGTGCCTCAACATATGAAAGGTGTGGAAACTCTGCTAAAACAAAGAAAACCATACACACACACAAACTGTAGGAGGGATCAGTAATGTGACCTGAGGAGGTAAAAGTGTGTGATTTCTGAGGTACAATGATGCCTAGACTGTAGCTATCAAAAGACATCTAGGCCTGGCAAGATGGCTTAGTAGTGAAGACACTTGCTGCCAAGGCTGCCAAGGCTGCCAGCCTGAGTTCAGTCCCCAGAGCCTGTGTGGTGGGAGGAAAACCAGCTCATGCAAGTTGTCCTTTAACCTTTGGCTTGTGTTCATGGACACATGTATGCACACACACACACATACACACGCATGCACGTAAATAATTAAAATCAAGTTTTTAAAGAATATTGTTAAGGTCTTTAGGCAGACATGATAGGTGACTGGATCTAGTTGGGAGCTCATTTATTTCTTAGAGGTGAAATTGATACTTAATTTGTCTTTGCCTTTGTTGTTTCACATTCTGTTGAAGTGCTCAGTTTCTAGAAGATAGTAAATACAGTTTTCTAGCAAAACTTATTGGAGCACAAAAAACAACTGGAAAGAGATTGTCCTTATTATATATCTTATTTTGAAATTTTTACTATAAAAGGCAAGATAATAAATGCTTAAACAATGAGATTATTTAACTGCTTGGTTGTCTGCCATGAATTCTCCATGACAGATGGTACTTTTACATTAGGAAACAGAACAAATCCTTTCTTCCTTCAGTTCCTCTTGCTAGTTGTTTTGTCAGAACAATGAGAAAAGTAAATGAGATAACATTTGAGAAATACAGAAAATACGTCATAATTAGTGTGATAGGAGAAAAGCAGAATTCTATCCTTGTGATCTGTAAAGAAAAATTATCTTTCTTTACTGTGTTTTCACTATTTTATGGGAATGTTGAGTTTTGAATGTTGAATATTTGTTGAAAATAAGAATACAGTACAATTATAGGAATATATTTGTGACATAGAGTGAAACCTCCATGTTCAGTCTAGCAAAGTAAAGAGTAGAGTCATTACCCTAGTCACACATGTCAATATAAGAGCTATTTTTTTCTCCTCAGTGCTGACAGTAGAGTGAAATTATGGGATGTGAGAAGAGCATCAGGATGTTTGCTCACTCTAGATCAGCATAATGGGAAGAAGTCACAAGCTGTTGAATCAGGTAACAAAGACCACAGTCAATAATACAGTAATGGTTTTATGGTGGCTTTCTAGATTGAAATCAAATAAGTATATATTGACAAATTAAAAATTAATTTTTGTAAATGGTATTCAAAATCAAACATAATTGTGGTTTTCTTTCTCCCAAGATCCAAATAATTATGTAGACTGCTTTTGCCTCCAAACTTTCAAACATACAAGCTTCTCATGTGTACCTTGGTTTGCAAATATGTTTGCTCTAAGGCCAACTATGTCAACTCAGTTTTACACAGAAAGCTGCAGTAGAGTGATGCAAGAGCCGTGTTCTGTGCTTCTGTGTCACCACAGAGACTACAGGTTGTGCGCGTGTAAGTCAGGTGCCATCCCTGTGACACTCGGCTCAGTTGTGTTTTTATACAGGATTTAAAAGCAGTGTCCACCCATTCTAGACTAGAAACTCAGTTGGTTTTTTTTTTCCCCAAGATTAGAATAGTTTTTCTCTGTTAAACTTTCTCTTGATAGAAAACATTAATATTTTCCTTTCTTTATTTCTTTTCTCTCTTGATAGTGCTGGAGACTGAACCCAGGCTGGCCTAAAACAAATGGCCCTCCTTCCTTCCTCTGCCTCCCAAGTGCTGGGATTATAGGCATGCCCTGCCATTTTGGATTTTTAATACTTTGTCAAATGATTTCTAATTTAGAGGGAAATATATGAAAGCGTTGAAAAGCATTTAAAGTAAGTTATTTTTAATTGAATTAGTATAGTTTGCTTACTGAAAAAAAATTATACTTGGCAAATATTTTGCCTATTCTTTTCCTCTAGAAGGTTTTTTTAATGTAGCTTATCTTGCTTACATAACCTAAAGATTGGTTAATTTTATGCATAATCAACTTATATTTTAGGTAATTCATTAGTTATTCTTTAATGTGTTTTAAATATAATTAACGCAGAAAAAGATAAATTGAATGTGTTTTCATTGCAGCAAACACTGCTCACAATGGGAAAGTTAATGGCTTATGTTTTACAAGTGATGGACTTCACCTGCTCAGTGTTGGCACAGACAACCGAATGAGGCTCTGGAATAGCTCCAGTGGGGAGAACACACTGGTGAGAGGCTTTAAAGGACCTGTTTAGTAAATGGTCTGTGATGTACATTTATACACATTATATTACATTTTCTATAGAGGTGACTTCATTTCTTGTCTTGAGTCACAGCTGTTAATATATTTTGAAAAAATACTTTAGGTATGAACGGCTAATTCTCAGGCTCGCCACCCTACCTGGCACCCCGGCTCATTCCTTGTCTTACTGTGGAACTGCTATAACAGGGGTGAACTTGATGCTTTTAATTAAAAGATTGAGAACCACTACAGATAAAGGTACCAACAGTCAAATTTTACATTTAACATTAGTCATATCCTTTCCTTTCCCCATCTTTTCTAGCTAATAAATCTCTTTTAAGTACTGAGGGTCACTTTGACTACTGTTGTTAATACTAGTATTTCTAGTGCTAACACTGATACAATTGTCTCTGTGTGCGACACAGTGGGCACAGACTCCGAGGCTTGTTCCTGCCAGGCAGCCCTCTGCCGCTAACTGCTCCCCCCACCGTCCAGTATGTCGAGAGGCTTAGGCTAGATGGAGAACAAGTAAAGGCCTTCAATAGAGAAGTGACAGGACCAGACTGGACAGTGTTCTGCGGCGTGTGTCGGAGTCCGATGTGACGACTGCCAATGGCACTGTGCATACGGCCATGGCTGATACCGTTTAGTCCATTTCTGTCTCCTTAAACGTGGTGGCACGCCTTTAATCCCAGCACTCGGGAGGCAGAGGCAGGCGGATCTTTGTGAGTTTGAGGACAGGCCCCAAACTACAGAGAAACCCTGTCTACAAAAAAAAAAAAAAAAAATAGTACTTCATCAAAGTAAGTTATTCATAAAGAATTAAACATAGCTAACTTAGAATCTCTCCTAGAAAGGGGACTTGAAAGGACTTGAGACACTGATTCCAAAAAATAAACTCCAAGGAGATACTTTGTCCTCAAATTTGTAAACATCTTACAGATCAAAAAACAAATTCCACCCCTATTTACTTAATACTCTTTTCAGCTTGGGTGTCATCATTTTGTAAATCATGAATATTGTCTGTCTAAAAACTAATTACAAGTTTAACAATGTAGTGCTGAGCTACCAAATAGCGGGCAGAGTGTAGTAGCAATTCTCTGTTTTTGCCTTACTTGTGTAAATATGTGCAAATACACATCTCCAATATGTTTAACGATAAACTATATACAAATATTGAGTCTACATATTAAACTTAGGCTTAATTTCTTATTTTTTAGATAACAATAAATAGAAATAGAATTTTAAAAGTTTTCCCCTCACACAATCTTTAATGGATCCTTAATGATCCTTGATGTAATCTCCCCATAGTTTGAAGTCTGGGGACAATGTCTTAAAGTACAGAGCAAATTCCAGCTGGGCCAGTTCACAAGGAGACAGGTTTGGCACAACAAAAGAAGAGAAGAATAGAGAGTGGGAATTGATGTGTCCCAGTTACTGGCGCATCCTTCGTGTTGTGTGGTGGCGCAGGGAAGGAACTGAGACTGTTGACACCACTGCTAAGCCAGCCACAGTGCTGTTAGTTTCTCCGTGTGTCAGTGCTGGCCCCAGTGTGTCTGTTTAACTACACTAATGCCCTAACTGTTCCTAGCTCCTCCACGTTTCCGCGCTGTTCAAACTGACTGCCTTCACCAGTTGTATAAGCCGTGCATTCTTGCCCTCTGGCTCTGCGTTCTGCCACTTCCCATTTCCCCACCTTTAGTGCACTGATCTCCTTAGAGATAAAGATCTACCATCCCCGCTTGCCCTTCTATTCTGCTGGACTGACTGCGGCCTTCCCTTTAGAGTACCCCTCCTGCTGCTACAGCTTAGCTTTCAAGGTTCATCTCAGCCTGTCTTTGAATCTTCTACTCTATCTTAAAAGCTCCCAGAGTACCCTGGGCTTATTGTCTTGAAGTGTACTATGACTATCACTTCACACAATGAAAGAAAAATGTCATATAACAAAATGTTTCAGTGGTTTTGTTAACATAGTTTAGATGCAGCCTTTGAGTCTGATGTGTACTAGCCAAGATACATTGATAAATTACTTACCTTTGCCAGGCGTGGTGGCCCACACTTTTAATCCCAGCACTCGGGAGACAGAGGCAGGCGAATTCTCTGAGTTTGAGGCCAACCTGGTCTACAAAGTGAGTTCCAGGACAGTCAAATATACACAGAGAAACCCTATCTGGAAAAACCAAAAAAATTAAAAAAGGAAAAGAAGTTACTTAGCCTTTCCAAGTATTCCCTTCTTTCTGCCCTCTTTTCCATGATGTTTCCTGGGTTTTACAGGGGTTGATACAGGTGTCCCATTTGCGTGACTAAGCACACAACAGTCACTTATTCTCAGCACTTCCATCAGTTAGAGGTTTTTGCGCTAGCTGCTACCCACTGCAAAAAGAAGCTCCTCCTGAGGCAGCACTGGTCTATGGGTATAAACATAAATATTTAGAAGGCTGTGATACCATGTCCCCTTAGCATTAGTAGTAGGTCCCCTCTAGGAGTTGTGAGTTCCACAGCCATAGCTTTTGACTGGGTTTGCAGTAACCGTGGTCTCAAACCTACTCAGAAAATGGTTGATTCCCCAAAGATCTTTCGTGCCACTATTTCGCCCCATGGCATGTTGGTGTTACACTCAGGGTTCATCACTGGGTAATACCATTAATAACCCTTCTCCCTCATAAGCCTGCACCACACCTTCCAACACTTGAAAGCTCACTAGCATGGGTGGTTTTGGGGTCAGTTATAACTTGGTTTCTCTATATACTACATCCACAGTGAATGGCATCTTCAGCAATAGGGTCATGCCATGCTGATGAGCAACCAAGAGCAATGGCTGTATCCTTTGTTACTTGAAGGGCCTCTGGGTCTCACTGACCAGTAACTTGTAGGAAAGTATCCCACGTCTGGCACTGAGATTTTCACTTAACTGTGTCTTCTGTGAGAAGCATTGTCCACCCATGCATGGTACCTGTGTTCAAACTCCTTTAGGATATCTAAATATCCTATCCTTTAGGATATCTCCATATCAGCCCTATGTTCCTGCCCCTCCCCGTTTATGGTCCGTTCTAACTTCCAGAACCATCCCTCCCATAGTCAGATGGTACATACTGGCTCACCAGGTAGAAATGAAGATAGCTCCTCCTAATTAATTAGTCTGAATCAATTAAGTCTGAACGTCACTGGCTGGCTACCTTCATTTCCCAGGTGCACTCATGTGTATGATGTCATTTGTGTTTTTTCAGTGACACTATGGTAAGTGGTTTTGTTTCCGTTTAGCATATTAGAGGAATGGAATTTGGAGATTAAATCTGAGTGGCCCCTCTAACATAGATTTCAGAACCCAAGCTCAGTGTTTGATTTACTTCACCTCAGCTGCCACAGAGTGGCTAGAGGCACAAGCTCGGCTCCAGTTCCACTTGTTTTGCCCTTGTGCTGTATTGAGCCCTCTGGGCATGGTACTCTCTGCTGCTTAATTGTTTCCTTAAGATAAATTCCCACGAGCAATTACTAGATCAAGAAGTAAGAATATCTTTATTGTTCAGCTAGTTTTAATAAAAGTGGAGAGTGTACAGCAGCATTAATACTGCTCATCTGCACACTTAAGATGGTTGTAATGATCAGGCATGCATTGTGTTGGTTTATTACAACTCATTCTTAGGAAAAGTTTAGTCCCATTTGTCCCGTTTGAAAGAATAGCCACATTATGACGCCAATTACATGTTCTCCTTACTTTTTTACCAATATGAAGGTTTCTTAAAATAGCTCAACCAGGGGGGCTCGAGAGATGGCTCAGAGGATAAGAGCACTGGCTGCTCTTCCAGAGGTCCTGAGTTCAATTCCCAGCAACCACATGGTGGCTCACAACCATCTGTACTGAGATCTGGCACCCTCCTCTGGTGTGCGGGCAGAATGTTGTATACATAATAAATAAATAAATCTTTAAAAAAAAAATAGCTCAACCAGAAGCTGGGAATGTAGTAAGGTTAGAGGTCTCACCCAGCATCCATGAGGCCCCTGAGTTTTGTCTTCAGATACCAAAAAGAGAGGGGAAAGTTTTTGAAAGTTTGACAGTCAGAAATAATTCAAGTTTGACTTAGTTGACAGATGGTAATCTGTCCCTTGTGGGTTTATTTCTATTTCTTCAAATATAAAATGTACATTTGTATTATTGGCCCTTGTTTTTATTAAGATATTAGTTTCTTTAAATTGTAACAAGGGAAGGGAGTGTTTTTTTCAGTCTTTGTTGCTTTTTTAACGCAACTTAAAAAATGAGTGACATTATGGTTTGAATTCTGCAGGTGAACTATGGGAAGGTCTGTATTGACAGCAGGAAAGGACTAAAGTTCACTGTCTCCTGGGGCTGCAGCTCAGAGTTTGTTTTTGTTCCATATGGCAGCACCATTGCTGTCTATGCCGTTCACTCAGGAGAGCAGCTGACTGTGCTTAGGGGACATTATAAGAGTGTCGACTGCTGTGTGTTCCAGCCTCATTTCCAGGTAAGAATGATACTTAGGGGAATTAACAACCATTAGACGGCTGGCTTGCCAGACTAGTAGAGTGTATAAAACAGGAAGTTGCAGTTCTATTTTCAAGTGTTATATGCTTTTAATCATTCTGAAGTATGATGCCAACAATCCACCATTGAGATGGTATTTCTTTAAGAGAGATTAATAGAGCCTAATTCTCATATGGCATAGGAAGTGTATATGAATCAATATAATACTGTGCGATTGGTTGGGATATGTTGTCTTTTCATTTGAATATGAGCTCCATTTAACCATTTGAAATGTAATCAAGTATTTTCTCATGAATAATCCTTTAGGTAAAATATATATATGTTCCAAACTATAGTATACCATGGTTTAGCTATGTTATTTCATTTCTTTATTTTCTGCCAGAGGCTGATGGAAGTATGCCTTTGCAGGACTAGATACTGAAATGACTAGTAAAGAATCCCTTTGAATCAATGCAGCTCACATCATTTCTCCCATTTATTTATTTGTGTGTGGAATGGCACATATGAGGGCATGCATGTGGAGATCAGAGGACAACTTACAGGAATCGACCCTCTCCCTCCATCCTGTGGGACGTCAGGCTAAGCAGCAGGTGCCTTTGCTCACTGAACCACCTCAGCAACCCAAAATTTGTTAAATACTCACCTTAGTCACTTTTCTGTTCATGTGACCAAAATACATAACTGGAAGCAGCTTCCCCGGAGAACAGTTTGCTTGAGCTTATGATTAGAAAGGACGCAGTTTGTAATGGCGAGGAGGTCAGGCTGCAGGGACACAGTGCAAGTGGTCTCTGCCTCAGCCGGCAGAAGGCCGAGCAAGGTGAATGCTGACACTTGGCTTGGCTCTTCTTCAGTCTAGGACCCCAGCCTCCTGGCTGATAGCACCCACATTCATGGTGGTGCTTCTCTCAGCAAACAAATCTTTCTGGAAACACCCCCAAAGGAACAACTACAAGTGTTTCAGTGTGTTTTCAGAGCCAGTCAAGTTTGCAGTGAAGATTGTCAGTACTGTGAATTTTGTTAAATGTCTTTACTTTTTTCTTTCAAAGACATTTTTCATTTCTGTTGGATCAAAGAAAACAGTCTTTCTGAGACACAAGCAAAATCTTAAACAAGATATTCTGATTACAAAGTATATGACATTCTTCTAGGCGGGAGCTTCTTCGCAGGAAAACCTAGGAGTCTGTTGGAACTGTATCAAGAAGGGTCTGGAGAGATGACTCCGCAGTTAAAACATTTGCTGCTCTTACAGCAGACCTGGGTTCAGTTCCCAGCACTAACTCGGCAGCTCATAACCATCTGTAACTGGTTTCAGGGGACCTGATGCCCTGTTGGCCTCCCCAGGTACATGGTACCCGACACACACAGACCACACAAATTCATATAGGCAAAACATAACAGGACCAAATACGCTGGGTGCGGTGACATGGACACCTGCACTCCCAACATTCTGGATTATTTTCAAGAGTTCAAAGTTGTGCTGGGCTACAGAGCAAGTTTCAAACTAAAAACAAAATATTCTGAGACAGATTGCCAGACACCTTGGGTGGTCGGTTACCTGGGAAATGCTCTGCCTGTTATGTTTTATTCTACTTTGTTTTTGAAACAAGGTCTCATATAAACCAGACTGTCCCCAAACTTGCTATGTAGCTGAGAGTAATCTCAAACTTCTGATCCTCCTGCCTCCAGTTCCCAAGTGCTGGGATTAAAGTCATGTGCCACTACTCACAGCCAAATACCATGTCTTTATCTGCTTCAGACTCAGAAAGATTGGGTCACTAAACACATCAGGAAACACTGTGTAATTTACTGCATGACCAGAACGCTTTCAGTTTGTTGGGAAGGAGTGAGCGTTGTTCAGTGGGAGCAAATAGCATGTTCATTAAGACACTGACACACATGTGCATCAGCCCATGACTCCTTCCATGTCCTGAATGTCTCCGCAGACAGAGTGGGGTCCTGAAGCTTTGGAAGAACAGCCGGGTAGCTGTAAGCTAAATGGAACTTTTGGCCTGTTTTTGTAGAATCTCGTTTTCTTCTTTGAAGTCATTATTCTAGATGCCTCAGGTTTTTGTCAGAGAAAAGATATTGTACATTTTACTTTTTCTAACACTTAGAAATGTGCTCATGAGTATTGACAAAACTAGTAAGACATTGATGTCTGTAAGATTTTCTCACTGTAAGCTCTAACGCTTGGCTCTATTTTAAAATATAAAGCTTCATATTATATTGGTTATTCCTGGGAAGATTCCAAGGGCAGTGGAGTGGAAACTCATTTATAGAAGGTACAAATTGGTATGATCTTTTTGGAGAATGAAATCTCAGGATATAACCAGAGCTTTGTAGTATTTCTAAAAAGTTTGCCTGTGTCATGCACAGAATTTAAAGACATCACATTTTTAAAAAACTGAGGAGCATTATTGTATTTTGTTTAATGACTAGAAATTAAATAAATGAAATTAGTCTAAATTAATTAACCTACTTAGTCTGATCATTTCAAAAATTGATACAGCTCATTTCCTCATTATACAAGCTTTAAATTGATCAACAATCAGTCTTTGCTTTCTGTATTACAGGAACTGTACAGTGGTAGCAGGGATTGCAATATTCTTGCTTGGGTACCATCTTTATATGAACCAATACCTGACGACGATGATGAAGTAAGTGGTATTTCTACCTGCTGTGCAGTGATTGCTAATTATAAAGATTAGTCCTTTATTTGATGGGGGAGACTGTTAAAGCAGTTCTGGCTGTTTTCTGGTTGTACAGATAGTTTTTGCCACACATCCATTTAAAATTCAGAAAAATAGTAAAAGAACATAATTTCTCAATTTTAATTAGTAAAGATTTTTTATTTGCTTTACTGTTTTTCCCTGTCATTAATTTTTTTTTAAAGCAATAGTTAATTTATAGACACATAATTTAGAGTTATCATTGAAATGATACAATAGCCCCCATTCATGTATGAGTAAGATTTGGAAACTTTTTTGTAGCGGGAGGGGTTGAGACAGGGTTTGTCTATGTAGTTAGCCTTGTCTGTCCTGGAACTTACTCTGTAGACCAGGCTGGGCTCAACCTCACAGAGAGCCACTAACCTTTGTCTCCCAAGTGTTGGGATTACAGGCATATGCCATCATTGCCCAGCTACGAATTAGAAATATGTTTAATGATATAGTAATCTGTCATTTATATGTCATAGTTTAAGTATTTGTTTCTGCTGATTGTTTTAAACAACACCAATATAAATATATTTTCAAAAGCTGTTCATATTTCTAATTAGTTTTAGGATATACTCCTAAAAGTAGAGTTATCTCTTGTTGTTGTTTGTTTGCTCCCTGTCTGGCTTTAAGCCCCCAGGACAACTGTCTTGTGGCCAATACAGTTAATCTTCTCTTTGGCTATTCAGAAGAATTTGGGCTTCACAATGAGGGCTGCTTAGGGAGCTCTTCCTTCCCCAGAACTCCATACCACACTGATGATGGGGGCAAATATTTACCCATGTCTGTTCACTGACAAGATTCACAGTCTACCAAGCTTGGCAGGTGAGCCCTGGTTCCTCTCTAAGTGTTAAGACCACATACCAGCTTTACCAGAGTCACCTGATGGCATTTGTCTAAGTTGATCCTGTGGTGGTAACACATGCCCCAGCATTACCTTGACCTTCTGGGTGCTTGTGGTGCCACCTATCGGCTATGGCCCTAGCTCATGGAGTCACAGAGTTTCTGGATCTTCCCCAGTTTGGATGGCATGGCAGCTGTGGAAAGGAAAGAGCTGGAGTTGGCTTTGGAGTTATTATTTATGACATTTTAAAAATCTGTCTTTTCACAATGTCAGTTCACACTTAGATCAGCAACCTCACAGTGCCTATCTCAGGATGATATGACAGGGTGAATAAACAGCCTTAAGTATAGGTGTTAAACAGATGAGGCAAGAGCCCTGCCCTGAAGTAGTAGTAGCCTCTCTTACCTTAAATTTACAAAAAGTATTTTTTTTTATGAAAAAGTAGTATTTTTAAATTGAGTGCTAGTGCATGTATCAGGTTGTTAAACCAAAGTTGTTGTTAGGTTTCCTTTCGAACCAAGGCAGAATGCCTGAGGAGTGTTTCTCAGATTTTTAAGGAGTGTTTTAAGTCTACCTATACAAATTGAAAGACCGTAGATGACAGGGATATTTTATGATCTTCAAATTTGTTGTTTAATTGTCAGACTGTTGTATTATATCTGAGGAATGTGTCTGTTTGCTTTCACTCAGATTTTCTAATTGGCATGCTCACCTCAAGCCTATCTGTAGCTCCTAGGTACCTTTAGTTGCCAGGGATATATAGGGACAGTACACTAGAGTTCTAATCTTACTTCTTATCAATAATCCTAATTCCAGCTGAGTGTAGTGACTCATTCTTGTAATCCTAGCATTAAAGGGACTAAGACAGTTTGGACTACAAAGCAAGATTCAGTCTCAAAACAAAACATTAGACATTGGCACAGTAAATGTCTGTATCTACTTTGTACTTGTGTAGATGTATCATTTGTTGACTTGGAAAGCTCTGGGACTTTCCAGTGACACTTGAAACTTCTCAAGACATGTCCTTGTGGTGCTGTTTTAATCCTTCTCATTATTTGGTTCTGTACTGGATCCCTTCTAAACCCAACTTAAGCATCTCTATGCACAAAACTCTGCCAGTAAACCAGAAACCTGGTAAGGTAGGAGGGGTGTTCATGCATAGACTGGATGTCCACTAGGAGGAGATGTTGTAGAGAAAACCAAAGTAGAGGACTCTGAAATAGTAGTGTATTCAAGCCACCTGCAACATTGTTACTGTCTCAAATAGTAGTGTGTATTAAATCCACCTGCAACATTTTTACTGTCTCAAATAGTAGTGTGTATTAAATCCACCTGCAACATTGTTACTGTCTCAAATAGTAGTGTGTATTAAATCCGCCTGCAACATTGTTACTGTCTCAAATAGTAGTGTGTATTAAATCCGCCTGCAACATTGTTACTGTCTCAAAAAGCAGTATGCATTAACTCCATCTGCAACATTGTTACTAACTCAAATAGTGTTTGTTACTATCTCGAATAGTAGTGTGTATTAAATCCGCCTGCAACATTGTTACTGCAGCTCTTGACCACAGGGTTGAAATTTTATTTATGATTGTTTTAGCAATAAAATATACCAGTAATATTATAATACATTCTAAATATCTGTTTACCACTGTAAGTAGTAAATATATGTGCAAATATGTCAAAATCTTGTTTTTGTTTCTATCCTTACCAAAGCAAAGTAATTCATAACGAAATAAATTTTTTCTGTTGAATTGTCAAATGAAATCAAAGTGACTTTTAGATTGCACATTGGGCTTCCATTGTGGAATTAGAAGAGATGAGCTTTGTGTAGCTTTTATTCCTCAAGGATATTTTTGGTAGCTATCTAAGGTGGAGTTAAAAGTCTAAAGACAGGAGAGAAGTGTTATTTCTGAGCTTAAACCCATCGTGAGCAGTCTAGCTTAGTAGTTGTTAAATCATCAAGTTCCTGAGTGGAACAATTACGACATGCTGTACCACACCCAGCTTCAAACAGCACCTTTGGTGGAAGTCAGATTTGAACTGTAAGGAACTTACCCTTATTAATCTCGGGCATCACGAGATTCAGCAAACATTGGATCAAAGAGTAAGTGAATAAATAGATTTCCAGCTTCCATCACTGCTGCTGGAAATGAGTGGTTAGCTGGAGTTTGGTCATAGTTTTGATTTGGCCATTTGGAGGCAAGTGTAAGTGTAAATTTTTATTGTGTGTGTAGTGATGGTAGCCAGTAAGTTTAGCCATGGCCTCTGGCCTGTTTAACAACTGCAGCATGCCTACATCACTATATTGTTTTCTAGCTAGTCTAGCTAGTGGAGGAAAATTACTGGGAGCACTGGCTTTCCCATTTGAATTGTAAGATTCTGCCATGTTGATCGTAAGGTAGACCACATTCTTAAACATGACTTAAGGGTTACCTTCACAGAAGATGTTTCCCTACATTGCAAAAGAGAGAATATCTAAAATAATTTAACAGTAATCTTGCAATTTGTTAGCTATTGAAATCCAGATCATATCAAGTAGCCAGATGCAAAAGCTGCAATATAAGAAACAAACCTGATTCTTAATTCAAGAAAAAAAAAAGAGCCTCTTTTAAGCCTTTGAAGTCATTTCCTTGAGATAAGAAACAAGTGAACTGACATGATAATTCATTTAATTAAAATCTCTATAGTTGCCAAATCTTTTCACTGATGGCTATAAGGTGGAAGAATATTGTGAATTTTTTTTTTTTTACAGTTTTAAGTGAAAAATCCAAATAGTTTTTAGAAAAATCTCCCAGGGAAACCTCAGTGCTAGTTATTGCCCTTGCTACCGGTTTCCTGTAGTTTACCTATGCTTTAGACTTAACTGCGTAGTAAGCCACAGTAACCTTTTATTACAAACTGTAGTATTCAGCTGGGCTTGGTGTCACATGCTTATCATCTTAGCCCCCAGGAGGATAAAGGGTGGTGCTTCCCACAAACTCAAAAGTCAGCTGAGCTGCAGAACTGTAGTGTGTAGGGCTGGAGAGATGGCTCAGTGGTTAAATGCACTGGCTACTCTTCCAGAAGATGTGGGTTAGATTCCTGGCACCCACATAAGGTTCACAACCCTCTGTAGCCCCTGAACTGTGTTGAGTTTTGGGCCAGCCTAGACTACAGAGCAAGAACTGTCTCGGGGAGGGGGAGGTGAGGGCTTACATTATTCTGATGGATGAAATAGTTCTCAGATTTTGGTATTTTTTATGTATGATGGTAAAGTTAATCCAGACAGCACAAAGTTACCAGCATATGTATTCTGGACGGTCCAGTGTGCTGTGCGCGTGCATCCAGTCTTAACCCTTGCACGTCAGTGTTGTACCTTCTGCACAGAGCTGGAGCACTGTGAAGTGCCGTGGCATAGCTCTATGGCTGTCTAGAAATACTGTGAACAGTGGCATAGCGTAGATCTGCGCATGCGTAGAAATACTGTGAACAGCATTGTAGCAGATCTACGCATGCTTGTGATCTGATTCCTTTGAGGAAAGCAGGTTATTTTGGAAGAGTTAGTTTTGTCAGTTGTAAATGAATTTACATTTTCTTTACATTACTTTTGTTTTTAGATTGGCAATAATATGGTTTCCAAATAATCTAATTGCTGTTAAAATAGCATATTTTAGCCTAGTATGAGACTAAAATTATGAAATACAGAAATAGATTCTTCTCTTTTTTTAGGCTACGACTAAATCCCAGTTGAATCCAGCGTTTGTGGATGCATGGAGCAGCAGTGACGAAGAAGGGTGATTTAGCCAGCCTTTACTCCTTGTCCGTCGGACCTCTACATCAGCAGCGTTCGTGCAGGCTTCGGCTTGGGGCTCTTCTTTTACCTTTGTTTCTGAGACAAGGTCTCACTGTGTAGCCTTGGCTAGTCTGAAGCTAGGCTGGAATTCTGTGTGTAGACCAGAATAGGCCCAAACTTGCAGCCATTCCTCTGCCTCTGCTTCCCACGTGCTGGGATTACAGGTGTGTACCACATTGCCATGGGTGTGTGTGTGTGTGTGTGTAATTTTTTTTTTTTAACTCTTTAGTCAGTTTCTGAATTTGGGATGTTTACCTCTGTGTTTTAAAATGAGGTTAACATGTATAAAACGCTGAAATAAACTTCTCTGTGGTTTAATTATTGAAAACCTTTCTGTTTGAGCCCGTTTGCCTTGGTGTTAGGTCAGCTGCTGTGGGCACAGCACAGGAACAGAGGTCATTGTTCTCAGCCGGGCCTGTAGGTCTGATGAGTGTAGGATGTGTCTCAGCTCTGGATCCCCAGGCTGTGCTACCAGCCGCCCCCTTCCACCTCCAGGGGGATTTTTAACAAGGATAATTAGAAGAAAAGGTATTTTTGCAAAGGTAACATCGCAACTTTATATTCTCTTATTGAGAGCTCCATGTAATTGAGGTCTTCTAGCTTTCTGTCTGTTTACAGCTCATGTCTCCTACAGTCTGAACAGTGGCAATCCCCTGACCACTTGTTACTTTCAAAGGGCAGCTGTACTCAGTCCTCATTTCCTTCCTGTCAGACTCAACAAGATCCTTGCTGGGGTCTGGATTAAACATGAAATGTTGTAATAAAATTTCTATTCTTCTCTCTTTTTCTGTGTCAACCCAGAGCGATTATTATGAAGCGCCCCCCACTGTGTGTGTGTGTGTGTGTGTGTGTGTGTGTGTGTGTGTATACATGTTCACTAGGGATTGAACCCAGGGCCTCACACATTAGGCAGGAGGACTACCACCGGGCTAAGGGCTCAGCCCCTCTGACAGCAATATTGCGTTCTCTTTCTTCTTGATTCTTAGCAGCAGTAGAGTAGTAAAAGAGGGTTCTGTGAACTGGAGAACTAAGTGTATAATTGTTAGGTTTTACTATTAGTGCTAGGCCTAATATCTGACTTTACTGACCAAATGTTTTCTATGTGTCCTGGCTAGTTTTATGTCATCTTGACACAAGCCAGACCATCTGAAAGGAGAGAACCTCAATTTTACAAATACTCCATAAGATGGAGTTGTAGATAGGCCTATAGGGCATTTTCTCCGTCTGTGGCCCAGCCCTTCTAAACATTATAGATAATTTTTAAAAAGTAAAACTCCAAAAGGAAAGTAATGGTCACCTAGGATCTTTCCAGGGTACCCGGGACTTAGGCATTCTCTGTACTTGTCTATCACATGTATAATTTAAATACTGTCCTGTTTGCCATGATGCTATTGTAGAAACCGGGTCTTCTCAAACAAGTACCCCTCCCCCATTCTTCACACTTTTCCACAGTTGTATTGGTCTAGTGTGTATTCCTTTATATTACGATTCTATATAGACCTATGTCCACATATAGGATTTACTTGTTTTCACTAGATGAGATGGCATAATTCTGTCTAATTTTTCAGATTCAGCATGTATAAACCCCTCTGTGTTGTTATAATGGAGTCATTATTTCTCCTAATCTCAGAATGTTCCAAAATGTGTTTTATACAGATTTTTTCAGACATTTCCCTGACTGTATATATAGAACACACACATAGATGTGTGTTTGTGTGTGTATCTTGTATACATTGTGATCTGCATTATGTTTTCCTTAGGCATTAGATTTGGGCAGAAGACTTATTTAGTGAATATTTTTAACTTCCGCATTTCTTTTTCTGGGTGTATGAGATTTAGGGGATTGTGTGTGTGTGTGTGTGTGTGTGTGTGTGTGTGTGTATGGATGTGTGTGTTTGTGTGTATGTGTGTGTGTGTTCTAGTTTCAGTTCTTTACTGCGATAAAATGCCCTGAACAAAGGCATTTTGGGAGAGAACACATTTATGTCAGTTAACAATCCCAGGATAGAGTCCATCCCTGTGGGGAAGTCAGGACAGGAACTTCAGACAGCTGGCCACATCACATCCCAGGCAAGAAAAATGAGTGCACGACACCTTCACTGCACTGCTGAGGTTAAAATGACCTTTGTAGACATGTCTTCTCTCAGTGGAATTCTTCTCATGCTGTACATGTACGGTGACAATGACTAAGACTCACGTGAATGTGGTGACTGACTAGGGAAGTGGAAACAAGGGCCTTTGTAAGCTTGAGGCAAGCTTGGGAAATGGTGAATATTTTATTTACTTCTTTCATCTCAGATCAAATGCCTGACAAACAAAAGAGGAAGCAGTGACTCTAGCAGACAGTTTGAATATACAGGCCGTTGTGGTGGGAAGGAGCAGGTTGTAGCTGCAACAGCAGAAGCAGGAGGCAGGCAAGATGGCAGAGACAGGACAGGAAGCAGGGCCAGATAGAAACGTCAAGACCCATCATCGCTGAAGGTGACCTCTACTTTCTCCCACTAGACTCCACCTTCCAAAGATTCTGCAATCTCTGAAAAATAGCACCACCAGCTAGGGCCTAAATATGTGAACATAGGAGCCCATGGGGGACTTCTCACACTCCATCACTGGTCTCTAAGTTCATGGCATTTCAATGCAAAATGCATTCAGTTCCACTTCAGAAGTCCCCAAACTCCTGCTTCAGCAATCGAAAGCCCAATATCTCTTCATCCCTGTAGTAAACAAGAAAGCATTCCCATTCCATAGCTGATGGGGCCCTTCTTCCCCTTGGACCCTCAGGCATCTCTGCTTTTCTGAGCTCCTATGGAATTGGCCCAGTGAGTCCATTTACAGCATTCAGAACTTCATTTTAACCCAAAACTCTAAACCGTTCCACATTTCTCCTGCAAGTTTGTTCCAAAGTTCACAAAACATGATTAGTTCTGTGTCAGCAACAGCCTTATCACAAACCCTACCCTCAGTGCCAGCTGGTTTTTTAAGAATTGTTTCTATTATTTTCATTATGTGGGTATGTGCAGGTGTGTGCGGATGCCTGTGGAGCCGCTCAGCAGTGTCTGATGCCCGTGGAACTGGAGTTTCAGGTAGTGGTGGGTCACCTAATGTGGATACTGAGAACCAAGCCTGGGTTCTCTAGAAAAAACCGCTCACAATCTTAACCACTGAGGCATCTCTCCAGCCCTTACTTTCCTGTAGAGGTTACTTTTCTCATCACAGTGACCAGATATTAACAAGAAAACCAAGGGGTGGGGAACAGGGGAATGGATTGATTTAGCTCATTAAAGCAATGCACTTAGACCACTTAAACCTTGCCAGAAATGGAGCAACAGAAGCCTGGTGCACAGGGCATTTTACCTTCTAGAAAGTGTGGTAGGGAAAACCAATTGCAGAATGAACAACCACTTTTCCTGGCACTGTTCTTGACAGAGAAGGTTGCACCAGTGCTTGGAGGACAAGAGGGACTGAGCGCTAAGAAGTATTAGATTCATGGCCTATAGTTAACTCTTCAGTTGTGGATATGGCTTTTCCTTTCTTGTCGGGTTTTTATGTGCACTGGTGTTTTGCCTGCATGTATATGTCTGTGTAAGGGTGCCCGATCCCCTGGAACTGGAGTTACAGACAGTTGTGAGCTGGGAATTGAACCTGGGTCCTCTGGAAGAACAGCTTGTGTTCTTACCTGCTTAGCCATCTCTCTGGCCCTTGGTTTTATTATTTTGAGACACAGTCTATCTAAGTATGCAGGCTGACCTTGAGCTTGCTGTGTACGTAGCCCAATGCCTAAATTAAGCCAATTATGTTGAACATTTGTATCATTGTTACTATTTGCTTTCCCTCTCTGCTCTTTCTTTAAACAGAGAGAGATATTGAAAGAGGTGGTGTGGGGGCAGTGTGCAATATCAAATACACAAATACACTCTTGGGAACTGCCTTAGGGTTTCTATTGCTGTGAAGAGATACCAGGACAACAGGAACTCTTATAAAGGAAAGCATTTAACTGAGGCTTACTGAAAGTTTCAGAGGTTTAGTCCATTTTCATCATGGCATGGTGGCATGTAAGCCGCCATGGTGCTGGAGAAGGAGCTGAGAGTTTCTGCATCTGAATCTGCAGGCAACAGGAAGAACGAGCCTATGAGCTTGGAATAGGCTTTTTGAAACCCTAAAGCCCACCCCCAGTGACCCACTTTCTCCACCAAGGCCACACCTCCTAATCCTTTCAAATAGTGCCACTCCCTGGTGACCAAGTATTCAAATCTATGGGCCTATGGGGGCCATTCTCATTCAAACCCTCACAGCCAGGCATCCCACTTGGATCCTGCTGCCTTAGCTTCCCAAGTGCTGGGGTTACAGACACGCGCCACCATGCCCAGTTCTTTCTTGCAAAGAACATTTGAAGTTCCTTCTTTGCTACCTTAAGCCAATCTTAAATCTTGATTTCTAGAATTATTTCAAGTGATGTAAACATATTTTGAGATAGAGTCTCATGTAACCCAGGTTGCCCTCCAAGTTTTTATGTGGCCCAGGATGGCCATGAATTTCTGATGCTGCCAGGGACTGAAATTACAGGCATGTGCCCCCACACCTAATGTGTGTGGTGCTGAGATCAAACCCAGGGCTTCTTGCATGCAAGGCCAACACTCTCCCAATGGAGTTATAAACCAGTCCCTGTAATATAAAACATAACATGTCTTGATAGTTGTGTCAACAATAGTTTCAGATGTGGGGTGTATGGTTCTTTTCTCCACTGTCTGTTTCTAATCAGATAACTGGCATTCAAAACAGGGAAAAATAAGGCAAGCTGTTGTGATCTTTATCAGTATTATGTGTATTAGAATCGGCAAGTAAACGCCCTGTGCACTCTTGGCACTGATGAAAACTCCAGTAGCTTCTGTACTAGTTTATCTATTCAGCTCTCCTGGTTCGTGCTCCTGAGGCATCCTCAGGAAGAGGGTGTCATGTGGTCCTTGTGTCAGCGACCAGGTTCCTCAAGCTGTGCTTTATGCCTTGTATTTGTCAGTGTTTATATTGTAAACTTTGCCGAGCTGGCAAGTGGCCTTAGGCCTGGCTGGCGGTTTTGTTTCCTTGCCACTGATGCTCAGCACTGGCTCAAGGGAATGACACAGGCCACTTCTCTTTGGTTTGTGTTGTCCTTTGTAGCACAGGTTAGTAGCAGCCCCAAACTAGGAAACAAACACCAGCAGGAGCAGAGAGCTAGGCCTGTGACTCGAGTTTCCCTCCCTGTCACATGATGCTCCATCAAAACTGCTGTGTGCATCTGGAGTGCCTAAATAAATGCACTGTTCAAACCTGTACTTAAAGGATTG